ATACTAAGTAATAGCATTAATGAGGGTCTTCAAACTCTTCGCAATGTGCTTCAAACGTTGACGGATTCTGGATTTTCCATTAATTTAAAGAAATGCTCCTTTTTATGCACCAAAATAGAATACTTGGGACGAACTATTAGTGAGGGTCAGGTGCAGCCGAGCGAACAAAAAGTCCTGGCTTTAGTTGCCGCTCCCATTCCAAAGACTGTCAAACAAGTTCGCCAATTTTTGGGTCTAGCAAGCTACTTTCGCCGCTACATAGCTGGCTTTGCCACAATGACAGCTCCTATCACAAAACTTACAAAGAAGGGTGTTCCTTTTGTATGGGGTAGCGAACAAGAAGAAGCACGACAAAATATTATCCAGCGACTTACAAGCGAACCTGTGTTAGCTATCTATGATCCCGTTTTGCCTATTGAAGTCCACACAGATGCTAGTTCTATTGGATATGGTGCAGTGCTTCTTCAGGTTCATGAAAAGGGCTATAAGCGAGTGGTTGCTTATTTTAGCAAACGAACTCAAGGTGCCGAGTCAAGGTACCATTCCTACGAGCTCGAGACGCTGGCTGTAGTCAAGGCTCTGCAAAATTATAGACACTATCTGGTCGGCGTTCATTTCACGGTCGTAACTGACTGTAATGCCTTAAAAGCTACACAACAGAAAAAGGATTTACTACCACGTGTGGCTAGATGGTGGATATATTTGCAGGATTTTGATTTTACTCTGGTATATCGCAAGGGTGTCTCTTTATCGCATGCTGATTATTTGAGCCGCAATCCGGTTAATGTCTGCGAAGCACGCCGTCACCAAAATTGGGCGCAAGTGGCACAGGCGGCTGATGAAGAGACTCAGCAGTTACTTCAGAGACTGGTTGACGGACAGCTTGATTCTAGTCATTATTTTCGACTGAACGATCTCCTTTATTACAAGTATACTCCAGTAGGAGAACAACCCAGACTTTTATGTTATGTGCCAAAGGGCCACAGATTGAGTTTGCTTCGAATCTTTCATGACGAGCATGATCACCTCGGAGTAGATAAAATGTTGGAACTTATTCGAAAGCACTTTTGGTTTCCTTCCCTTAAATCATTTGTCAGAAAATATATCAGTCATTGTGTAATTTGTTTAACGCACAAGAAAATACCTAGAGCTCCCCATCAATTCATACATTCATGGGAAAAACCTGAAGTTCCATTTGAGGTAATACATGTGGACGCACTAGGACCTTTACCTCAATCGAATGGTTATAGGTATGTGTTAATTGTAATAGATGCATTTTCAAAATATTGTGTCTTATATCCTATGTTTGGTCAGGATGCTGTAGAACTAAAGAAAATTTTGACTAATGTTATTTCCTTGTTTGGCACCCCAAAATTAATTGTAGCTGACCGTGGTCGTATGTTCTTAAGTTCAGAATTTACGAAGTTTGTAACAGAATTAGGCATTGATATGCATCTAATTACCCCTGAAATGCACCACTCTAACGGGCAAGTTGAGCGCTACTGTCGAACTTTGCTTAATATGATTCGAATAGAGTGCAACCACCGACAGAAAGAATGGTCGGACGCTATGTGGCGAATACAGCTGGTCCTAAATATAGCGAAGCAGAAAACTACCAGATTATCACCCTTGAATTTACTGGTGGGTATTGAAGCTGCAACACCACTCATTCGTCATCTCGTGCGAGATGTCGCGTTGGAAAATTCACATCCCAATCGTGAAGCATTGAGAGAGATGCATAGACAAAGGGCTTTTCAACTATTAGAAAAGAATCAGCACCAACAAGATACAACTGCAAATGCTGATCGTAGACCTCCTCGATTATTTGCCATTAATTCATTTGTATTTGTAATCAAGCAAACCCAAGCGACTGGCAAGCTCGACTCGGGCATGCGCGGGCCATATCGTGTGGTCAAGGCCCTCCCCCACGGCCGCTACGAGCTGCAACTACTGGCAGGCTCGTATGGAAAGGTGACTCAGGCTGCGGCAGAGTTTATGATACCGTGGCGAGGGGAGTGGACTCCAGAAACGTGTGCCATCTTCTTTGAAGGTATGCTTACTATTACTGTACTGTATGATATGCTAACGTCGGGCCTATGTCATACATATCGTGTTTGAGACTTATGATATGCCAACGTCGTGCTTATGTCATACATATTGTGTTTGAGACTTATGATATGCTAACGTCGTGCCTATGTCATACATTGTGTTTGAGACTTATGATATGCTAACGTCGTGCCTATGTCATACATTGTGTTTGAGACTTATGATATGCTAACGTCGTGCCTATGTCATACATATTGTGTTTGAGACTTATGATATGCTAACGTCGTGCCTATGTCATACATATTGTGTTTGAGACTTATGATATGCTAACGTCGTGCCTATGTCATACATATTGTGTTTGAGACTTATGATATGCTAACGTCGTGCCTATGTCATACATTGTGTTTGAGACTTATGATATGCTAACGTCGTGCCTATGTCATACATTGTGTTTGAGACTTATGATATGCTAACGTCGTGCCTATGTCATACATTGTGTTTGAGACTTATGATATGCTAACGTCGTGCCTATGTCATACATATTGTGTTTGAGACTTATGATATGCTAACGTCGTGCCTATGTCATACATATTGTGTTTGAGACTTATGATATGCTAACGTCGTGCCTATGTCATACATATTGTGTTTGAGACTTATGATATGCTAACGTCGTGCCTATGTCATACATATTGTGTTTGAGACTTATGATATGCTAACGTCGTGCCTATGTCATACATATTGTGTTTGAGACTTATGATATGCTAACGTCGTGCCTATGTCATACATTGTGTTTGAGACTTATGATATGCTAACGTTGCGCCTATGTCATGAGTGTGGGGGGCATGTGTATGTCTATGCGTGTGTGTGTGTGTATGTGTGCGTGTGTGTGTATGTGTATGTGTGTGTGTGTGCGTGTGCGTGTGTGTGTGTGTGTGTGTGCGTGTGTGTATGTGTGCGAGCGTGTGCGTGCGCGAGCGCTTGTGTATTACACGTGTATTAATCGTACGCTAACGTTGTAGTTATGTTATACTTGCATGTATTTGAGATTCGTGATATATTTACGTTGTGCTTATGTCACGTAATTGTTATTCACAGAGACAGCCAACGTTGGGTTTCCCCTCTGGACATAACATGTCGTGTGAACTATGCTAACGTGGCGCCTATGGTTCACCGTACTAACTTCTGTGTTGAAGATTCATGATAAGCTAACGTCGGGCCTACGTCAGGCGGACATGTTGTATTTAAGAGAAACTTGATGTTGTACCACATATGGGTTGGTGTCTTTCCAGTCAAAATTAACGTGTCATGTTTTTATTTTATCTTGTTAGGTGCAGACGAAAATAACGAAAATGTGGGGTCCAGGCCTGAGCAAGCTGTCGCAAGTCACGAGCCTCGTTCGGTGACTTTGGTGTAGTCGGGATAGCGCGAAATACAGGAGCACGAGGTCGTGCTCTAGTCAGGAGAGGCCGTGTTAGAAGATTATGAATAAAGTGAAGATACCGACCCATAGACAAGTAGAGCGGCGAATGAAAAATCGGTTGGGTGTGGAGCGACATGTCAAACGCGTTTTTGACAACTCGGATTTTGGGGGGAAAAACAGACAGAGAAAATTGGTGCTTGAAGGGAATCGGACGGGTTTTTATTTTTAAGTCAATTTGCATAATTCTGTTCTTAGTTAGGCATATTTCTAATCAGTAATGTTTTCCTCCTCATCTCATATTAATGTTCAGTATAATTGATTCTCGCATTATAATATAATCGTTGTAACTTTTTGGTTGTTGCCGGTTTTATTTTCCCATCCTTTTTGGTTCCTAAAAATAGGATAATATGGCGAAAGATGTCAATTTCCCTTCCCTCAAAATTAAAAATAAACGCTACAAGAAGCAAATAAAGGAGGGCTAAAAATTCTAAAAGTTATCGTATATTAATTTAATGTAAGGGTCAAATGGTTCTGGTAAGTCACACTAATTCTACAAATAATATTACATAACCAAGAGAAAAAGCTTCATTGAAAGGGGTCGAAGGTTGTGACAGGAACCAGGACGTAGATTCTGACTTTTAAAGATATTAAATACAATGCTTTATATACCTCTAATATTACCTCATGAGTTAAATATTTTAATTATAAAAATGATTTAGTGTATGAGCACGCATTGAATTAGAAAATTAAAAATTTTGACGTTATCGATCTGGAGTCGAAGAGAGTTTGATTAAATTTTATGTACACAAGGATAAGGTCAAAATCTATTAAAGAAGTTTGGCATCGATACTTCTATGTCGAGACTGCTGGGCTATGGAATAAATAAATTAAAAGAAAAACTACAAAATCCTTGAACAATTTGTTTCTGCGGTGTCTAAAACCTTTCAATCATAATTATGGAGCTTCAAGATCCTTCGCAGAAAACTATCGATCCTTAGAAAAATACAAGAGCATCTTATTATTTGCTTCAGAAAAACCTTGTCATTATTATAGGTAGGCATTGTACATTATTTTAAATTTTTACGAGAAAATATTGACAGTATAAAAGGATTTTATACTTTCTTTCGTGTTTAGTTAACGAGGTAGTTGAAGAAGTACGTCGTTGGTCGACACGGCCAGTAGGTACAAGCAGGCTAATCTTCAATTAGATTCCAAGGAAGAGTAAGAGAGAAGAAAAAACGAAATTGTTTCCAGTTTCCTCAGTGAATTTAATGCAGGACACAAAATAACGTAAGCGTTGAAGGCACAAAGAGATTGCACAACTGAGGGAAGCCTAGTCACCAAGCACCATAGAAAGGACAATACAAGTTACACCATGTAAGTAATCTGAACAACATCCAGTTCATTGGCCCTGATAGACGACTATCATGACATAATTGGTTTATCATAATTGGTGAAAAATCGGCGTTCACCTAAAAGTGCACCGCTGCCTAACTCTTCGAGCAATAAAAGAAGTTATATTTAAGAGTATTACCGTCCCACACGTTGATACGAGCCCTGGTAGTATTGTAAGGGTAATATGCTTCCTCAGTCCCGGTCAGATTCTCAGCAAATGGTTGCAGCCAGGCATGGGCCGTACTGGAGCAATTCAATTGGCACTTAGCACTATCTTCACAAGGCAGTTTGTCTGTTTTGTAGTGCATCCAACCATACCACTCGGATGTTATCTAAAATCAATATTATTAATAAGTTACATACGTAACAGGTCATTGCTAGACTGTGGACCTCATCTAAGTGCCTACATAAGCAGTGTTTGCCATAACATCTACGTTTGGTAGGCGTGTTTGAAGAGTGCAGTTTAATGGGCCATCAGATGATAAGCGATAAGCAGCGCCCATTGACTATAGGTAATTGCCAGCCTTTGCTTGACGACTTATTTACACGGCGAACCACACAACTTGCTTCCCCCTAGTCCTTTCCATCATCGTACCACAATACAATTGACGAGAAGCGAAATTGCTTCATACTGGATATGCCACCCAATCGCACAAAGCGCTTCGCTTCGTTCCTTTTGCGAACTGCTAAGAACTGGAGTTTTTTGCCAGAGTCTGTGTTTCCTGAAGTATTCTTCAAGACCCGAATGAATAGGTTGCTTATGGGTAGACGAGCTCTATCGCAGCCCGCGTCATCGCTTACCACCAAGCGTAATAGCGACCAAACATCGACCCATCACATATAGAAAAAAACAAGCGTTGGTTTAAGTCAGTTTTTTGTGGGATGGCAGTATTGTACCGAAACATGGCTCTCCTATGTGAAGAATGCTCCATTTGAAGATATTCTTACTTAAACATCGATTAGACTATAATGCATAACGAAAATAAAATTAATATTCTAAGCATTTCCCAGTAATAAATCTTGTAGTGACTCGAGGGACGTTTGCAAGGCTGCTGAAGCATTGCATTGCGTAGGCGGCCTACTTCCACGTGTCTCGATATCCACAGATATAATTAAATGTCTTTTCTATAAATATTTCTTCAAGTTGCAATTAGTATTACATATTTGATGTAACATGTAAGAAAAGTAAGTAGCACAAGTTGCTAACAACTTAATATGGTCGATGAAGTTAGTAATAGGATCCTATATCCACAATTCTTGTTGCGGAGAACCTAACGGGTTACCGGGGCTCCGGCTCGAAGCGCAGAAGGAACGGGGTGGTTTTAAGTCAGTAAGAATCTGACACTCCCCCTCCCGCCTCACCCAGGCGGGAGCAACAATACGATGATTTTCTCCCTTAAAAAAACCCCAATCCTATTTTTATGTTCCGGGAGGCTGTTCTGGCTTCGTGTTGTAAACTAAACCATGCTTCTCAGCATTCCGGTCAATCAGCAACACTATATCGCTCACATAACTGATATTTTTTATGCACACCTTCAACATGATAAACGTGCGTGCTGTTGAGCTCCTCTATCAGTGAATTAACATACAGGTTCAAGAGCTTCAGGGAGGTCTATAGGTAACCTTCAAAATTCTTCTAAACCCTAATAAGTATCGCAGTCATTTTTTAATTTGTCCTCCTTATAACTAAGGGTCGCAGTTATTGTTGAAGTTATTCTCGTTTACTTACTTCAGATCAGCATCTTTTGTACGGGCTTGTAGTGACATCTATCTTCGAATAATTGCTACAATCTCGTCGCTTACCTACACTTTAGGCGAGCATGTGAGCCTAGATGGCGATAATGAAAGTAGGTACTCTGTGTTATCGGTTATACACAATTTGCGAATCCAGCGGTTTCACGGGTCTTTGTAATTTAGCCATGTGCAACCTAGATGGCAGTGTTTAATATGCCTCGAAATTATGACTGCCATTAAGGAGATTTATAGTCATCTTCCGTCGTGTGCCAAGAACTATAGGATGATTATTCAGGCACGCAATTTAGTTACCATATAACATAGGCTTCAGAGCCACAGTAGACTTTTCTGTGTCGTTAGAGCAAAGCGTACAGAATGTGTGCAGGAGCTCACTAATAAACCTGAATCTTTCAATCTGCAATCTCGCCTGCTAAGTGTAGAGATTACGGCAAACCTTCTTAAGTAGAAGCCCGTCCAGCAGTGGACTGTTCATGTTGACTTTCTTGGTAGACCGGCCGCAAGCACTACTAAGAACAGACTAAAGATTTCCTTCTCATCTTATCTTCAGGAGCGTCAACAGTCGGTTAAGCTTGATGATGGTTCAACTAATTGGCGTGAATTAAGGGCTGGCGTTCCTCTCCATACTATCTTCTCTTCTGTTTTGTATCTTTATTAATCTTATAGCTACTGAACTTTAATGTGCGTACTGTCTGTACGCTGTAGACAAGCAGCTATATCGTGAAGCTGCTGTCTGATGCGATCTTGCGGCTATTAAAAATTAGTTTAATACAGTGAATACTAGAAAATGTCAGGCCATTCCATATAGGTGTCGCGGAAAACCTAACGGGTTACCGGGGCTCCGGCTCGAAACGCAGGAGAAGGAACGGGGTGGTTTTTAGTCAGTAAGAGTCTTGACACTCATTCATTGGAGGACTCATTCGATGATTTTCCCCCCTTAAAAAAAATCCATATAGGTAGCTCCCGCAGGTTTAATGGGGTTGACAACGCATTTATGCCAGCCGTGGTCTTCGATGGTGCAGCAATCCCGTTAAGTAGTGAAATGAAAAACCTGGGCCTGCATATGGATAACAGTTTGAAGTGGCATGCTCAGGTCGGTAATGTGTTCAAAAATGTTCCTGGATATTTGCGGGAAAAACCCTAAGGTCAGAGTAGAAGATAATGCCCACGGCATTAAATACGATCCACCTTAATACGATTGTGCACGACGAGTATAAAATAAAAAGAGAGATGTCACATTTCAATCCCCAGAACAGTTAAAGCATTATTCAAATTCGCGGTAGTAGTAGGTACGGAATTATAACTCATGTAGGTACATACTTGATACTTACATTAATAAACTTGATCCCTACATAGGGTACATGGGGATTATAACCATCGAAAATAGCATATCTACATTTAATACGTGCACCCTTATCTTTTCCATCAAGAAATAAAGGTCTATTCAGTGTCAATATATTACTACGAAGAGTAGCTATTACTTGTATAAAGGGTTACAGTTTAAGTCGACCTAAATCCTTTAGGAGGTGGTATTATCATCATTCCTGACCGATTTAATTAAGGAACCCCATATACCAAACATAACCGTTCTCTTGATATCGGCCTGTGAATTGCTTTTATAAAAATTTCAGAAATATAAAAATATTGTAGTAATATATTTTTTTAAATCCATAATGTTTGTGTATAAAGTACATTATAGAATCTTTATTGCATGTAGGTACATATAATAAGCTTTGACTGAAAGTGTTCATCTTACATGTGTCGCGTCGTAATCCCATTTGTAATTATTGTTTAACTCAACCCAGCGACTTCGTCCAATCATGTAGTTACAGTTCGTGTAATATTTGTTACCATTGCAATCACAACCGACGTATCGGCCTTCCTAGAGAAACAGAGACATATTATTAACGTTTAGGGCCAAATTTTCAATCATCTGTTAATTCTTAACTGTAGAATAAAATTGTAATTTGACAGTTCTTCATCATCAACAGCCTATAGATGCCCACTGCTGAGCAAAGCCTCTTCTCACACGGAGAAGGTTAGAGCATTAATCACCACGCTTGCTCAATGCGGGTTGGCGATTTCAAACTTATAATTAGAAATTATAAGTTCAGGTTTCCCCACGATGTTTTTCCTTCACCGTTTGTCAGTGGTGTCTAAATAATCTTAGAAAGTACATATAACTCGGAAAAAGTCACATTGGTACTTGCCGTTGGTAGGTTTCGAACCCGCACCCTCATGCATGAGAAGTGGGCGTCTTAAACCTCCGGACCACCACGACATTTTGACAGTTCTTAGTATGGAAGAATTGTCAAATATTCAATGTTAGGTACTTAAGAGTTAAATTTTATCTGGTGTTGGAAAAATCGGCCCTTAAAGATATAAATACCAACAGTTAGCAAATAGGAGTCCCCAATTAAATCACCCCTCCCCAAAATAGGCTAACAACGCACTTAGTATTACCCCATGCCTCCATAGACGGCGTTGATCACGTTTATCATCACATGATCCATTTGGTTATTTACACGACATATAAACAGCTGAAGGAAAGCAGCGTTAAATTCGGAACTTTTAGATAATTTAAAAGTATGAATAAATAAGAAATAACTTTTGAAATGTCTAAAGCAAGCAATTAATCTCAAGATCAATGCTCATTCCTTCTGAAGTGTTGTGATCGATGCTCATATCCTGAGATGGGATGATAAAGCAGCCTTCACTCAGAATCAGCAGTAAGGCATTTACAAGCTGATTAGAATAGATATGATGAGCTCATCCCCGTTAATGACATGGACATGGTATTATGGAACAGTCTATTTCACCGACTGAGAACTAACTTGGTTCATCAGTATAACATAGAAATTATGAAGAACTAGCTTCTGCCCGCGACTTCGCCCGTGCTTTTTGATTAACAAACATACACACAAACCTTTCACATTGTATAATATATTTGTAAGATGTAAGAATACTTACTTTCAGAGTGTCAAACCTCCACAGTTTATAGAAGGCTTTAAAGGGTCCTCCAGCCTGTCGTATCATTCGGAATAATCGTGCCCATTTGTCAAGCGGTAAGAAAGACATTTTAGCTAAACGCTATTTAATAATTAAACTCTAATAAGTACTCCGAAAATCTAATTACTAATTTGGAGAGAACCGTTTCAATATTTGTTTGCTTTCCATCAGACAATACGTCAAAACAAAAAGCACATCTTTGTGTCAAACAATGACAAATACTGTCATTAATATCAAATAAATTGCATAAAAAATATATATATATAATAAAACTTTTTGCTCAAACAGCTAAAGAAAATAGGTGCATGGCACAGAAGTCAGAAGGTCATGCTTCGACGCTTCGAAGAATACTTTTAATACGTTCCGCAACATCTCTGTATTCAACCAGTTCGGCTCTAGGAAATGGTGATGATTTATGACGTGTAAAAGTGCTGCCTTGTAGCCTATTTGCAGAAATAAATTCACTTGTTTCACTAATAGGGGGTGAGCCCATTGCCATATACCGGGCACAATTCCAGACTCCGTGCTACTACTGAGAATTTATAACAAACCCAGTAATACTTATAGTGTAGGCAAACGGAGCATAAACATTTAACTAAGTGAAGTGACAACTTACTCCCCTGTTGGTACGTTTACTAGTTGGATAACAACAGCAGAAGATCGAGCTCAGTAGTTCTACTTAAGCAGGAAGAAGATGGTGATATTGAAAAAGAATAGGAAAATGAAACAACAATAAAAGCAACATAATAATTTATTAATAAATCACTTGATTCACATACAGATTCACAGCCTAATCCCGAAATAAGAACGAACAATAAACGACAGATCTCTTACAAACCTTAGCGCGAACTTTACATACACACATCACTTTACTAAATAGAGATGAACACATCAGTATGACCAATAAATAAATATATTTTTTTATACAGAAAACACAAGTATCTTTTGTCAAAATAAAAACATTATGATGATAAATAGTGGATTACGTCACTATTTGCACATTTTATACGGAGTTATCACATAGTAAGGAACCAATTATTATTTGCATAATAGGTAAATCATTTTTGAAGTAGACTCTTACTATTTAACAAATAACTGAACCAACTAAGGGCCGATTTTTCATTCATCAATTCACTCATAACTGTAGAATAAAATTGACATTTGACAGTTTTTAGTATTTTTTTTTATGGAATAGGTGGCAAACGAGCAGACGGATCACCTGATGGTTAGCGATCAGTGCCGCATAAGAATCCGCAATACCACAGGAATCACTGGTGTGTTGCCGGCCTTTTAAAACGGAATACACTCTTTTCTTGAAGAAAACAAATCACCAAATATTCAAAGTTATTCCTCAGTTAAAATTTATCTGGCGTTAGTTTTGTACCTCGCCATCACTCTTTTTGACCGGTGTTATTTACCTTGCACCGTTTGTTTGTTTGGGTCAAATCTAGTAATTGGAAATTCTTTCTTCATGAAGATAGATATTTGGTACTCACTCTTAATCTTGATGACCATACAATATAATCCTGTTTTTCCACAACTACAAACATTACGGATATCAAACTTAATACTTGATTAGTATTTAAACATAAAAAATATTGTTTATATATTATTTGTTACAAATAGACAGATTACTTGTTCTATTGGTCACCCACGTTGGTTCATTTACAGTGTTATCGTAAAGCGATTCTGCTCAGTAAAGTTCGCGTGAACAAGTGACGTATAACACAACACTTGACAAATAACATTATGTATACTTTAAACGAATTAAATAAAGCCATTCATATGGGAAGACATTCTCCGGTGTGGAGTAAACTTAAATATAGTATTGATAGTTGATAGCTAGGAAGATTACTGAAACTATTGCTGATATACTCAAACGCCACTACAAGTTTAAGTCACACTTAAGTATATGTAGTTCGAAGAAGAAGATACATTGGTGGCCCGGAGGTTTAAGACGCTTCTCATGCATGCGGGTTCGAAACCTATCAACGGCAAGTACCAATGTGAATTTTTTCGAGTTATATGTACTTTCTAAGATTATTTAGACACCTCTGATAAACGGCAAAGGAAAACATCGTAAGGAAACCTGGGCTTATTATTTCTAATTATAAGTTTGGAATCGCCAACCCGCATTGAGCAAGCGTGGTGATTAATGCTCAAACCTTACTGTGTGAGAAGAGGCTTTACTCAGAAGTGAGCAGTATAGGCTGTTGATGATAAAGTATAGTTCTGTCGCAACAAATCCTTTGTAAAATTAAAGAAGACAGACAGATATTTTAATACAACTTAAAATTGAGTATCCTTTCAGTATCCAGGTGTAAGAATCTTTATAGATCATTTTAAAATTAATAAGAAATTGGAATTATATTGGCTTATCTTTTTAATTTCAATCCGAAACTATATTTCGGCTAAAACGTTGTGCAATGTCTGTAAACACACATCCGAACCAAATAGAACTGTATAAGTTTTTATCCTCATGTTGTAATTAACCGGTTAGTGTTCACAGTAAGACACTAGAGGGCGGAACGTACGAGTTTATGAGGCGTTAGTTCTAATCGTGTTGTTTGTTTTAAAATGTTAAACCATGCAACATTGATCTTAATTTTTCTTTCAATGACTGATAAACTTCAAGCAATCAATATCATCCCAGCTATAAACCACCAAATCAGAAACACATAGAACTCCATGAAAATAGGACTTCAGGGTCACTCTTAAAATCTTCGACAATTTAACTTAACTTTCTATTACAAATCACCTTGAAATTCTATAATCGATACCCTAAAAAGATCTAAATAAATTAAAACAGTTTATATTTTTAAAAAAACCATTTGTACCCAAAAAATCTCAGAACTCCGAATGGCACATATACGTAACCCATTTGAAACTTAAATATATAGTAAAAAGAAAAAACTTTAAGTACTTACAGAATAATTAAGTACAATATAACAATATTAAAGTAAATATTACGTTTGCCACCGAAATTGGTGTAAAAAGAAAAAGTATACAAATTGTATAAATTATGAATTATTTGTTACCCCTACAACTGCAAACTCACAAATATAACCTTAAATAAATTTATAACTAAAAAGTATAGCACGAATTCAATATGGCGTCTTAACGGTTTTGCGTTCTAGAACATATTCGAATATGCGTGTTTCCCGCGCAAGCAAATTGGTCCCGCGTGTGCATAAACACGCAACGTCAACAAATAATAATAACAAAAAAAAAGAATATTATAATAATATATCCAGGTAATATGTCGAAAAAGTACAAAATATATTTACATAAAAAAAGGACACAATTTTTAAATTTTCGATATAGGTTTTTGTGAATGTTATTGTGTCACGAAGCAACATCGATTATGTTCAATCAAAAATCCATTTCAATAACCATCACCATTAGATAATATTCATTCAAGGATAAGCTTCAAAAAGCCTTAATATTGCTTCAATGTAATAAAACAACCAATGAACATTGCCATACAACTTACATCATACATTTTCACTTAGTATTTGTTGATTAAACAAATTAATATAAATCGCACGTAAGTATTGAGACTCATTTACCAAACATAACCACAAAATGCTTTACACCAATTAATTTTACGAACAATACAACACATACAAGCATTTAACGATCCTAACACATAATTATATTCGCAATTTTTAAATACTAAACTACTTTTACAATCAATCGATTAGATTTTAGTGCTTATTTCGTTGGATTAAAGTTACTTTTTCTTTTGTCCACGCTCGATTGATTTTAAATTTAAAGTAAATTACTAAGAGTTTGCAAAATAAGTGTAATACT